TGAAGTCTGTCACTACTTCCACAGCTTCCCCTTCTATTTGCCAAGGAGTGATGGGGCCGGATGCCATGATCTTAGTTTTTTTGATGTTGAGCTTCAAGCCCACTTTTGCGCTCTCCTCTTTTACCCTGAGCAAGAGGCTCTTTAGGTCCTCTTCACTTTCTGCCATTAGAGTGGTATCGTCTGCATATCTGAGGTTGTTGATCTTTTCCCCAGCAATCTTAATTCCCGCTTGTGATTCATCCAGGCCAGCATTTCGCATGATGTACTCTGCATATATATTAAATAAGCAAGGTGACAATATACATCCTTGTCGTACTCCTTTTCCTATGCTGAACCAATCAGTTGTTCCATTATACCTTCTCATGGGTGGGGGGATTGGATTGGGAGTTGGTTCACTGGTTTGGGATCTACTGCTTATACGGTTTTGATGTTTGTTCTGGTGGGCATTTTACTGATCTTTGGGGTTTATCTTTGCACACAGTGTACCCCCACCACAATACCTTGTGTTTCTGCGGTCCCCAGAACCCCCGGCTCAAGAGTTGGACAAATGATGATGGTTGCCAAACATTGGGCTGAGGACACTAAGTACAGCTCTTCCAGTAGACACAGCTCTTGATGGTGGCAGTGAGCCGTAGGGTGGTCATTTCACCAAGAGGGGAGATTGTAGGACAAGGGGGAAAATGAATGTGATTTCTGAATGTGAGTCCTGACATTCCTTCTGGCATGTTTACAGGCTGACCGCTGACACTGTGCCTTTATAAGAGTTTAACCGTAGTATATTCAGATTTTGGTGTTTAGCCCAGATAGAAGAAATTTATAGTAGAACGTATCTATTTTATAATTGTATTTTTCTGTATAAGAAGCTATATTAAGCAAAAGTAAAGGCCTTTGTAGATGGAATGCTATTTAGAAGTTGCAAGGACGCCGAGAGTGAAGTTTAATGTGAATCACAGTCCTTATCAGCTAGCTCTCCAGACGCGTGGCCAGAAAGGGTCCCAGCGTTCTCTAATGTTCCCAGGGCGATTTCGCATGGGACTTTGGCCCGCTGTGAAGCGCGGTGAGCCCTCTCTTTCCTCCGGAGCATCTCGTCGGTTTCACACCATTTGTTTCGATGCTTCCTTTTGGCCCGGTGCTTCCCCCATTTGCTCCGCAGCAGTTGAAATCCTCAAATCCCAGGATTTTCCGTTTGCTTCGCGGGGATTGAGCCCTCCCCCCCCCCAAGCCCTCTCTTTCCTCCGGAGCATCTCGTCGGTTTCACACCATTTGTTTCGATGCTTCCTTTTGGCCCGGTGCTTCCCCCATTTGCTCCGCAGCAGTTGAAATCCTCAAATCCCAGGATTTTCCGTTTGCTTCGCGGTGATTGAGCCCTCCCCCCTCCCCCCTCCCCACTTTTTCCACGCCCATTAGCCCACCTCCTCTTTTTTTTTTTGTTTAAAAGATTGGTGTCGTTAGTTCGTTAGTTCAGCACATTGCAGGAACGAAATTAAGGGCAGCGGGATCAGGGGCAGGCTGCCTGCGGCCTCGTGGCTCTCTCACTCGGCCGA